TTTAGGGAGTCGAGAAAGTTATCTGAAAGAGATGAAAGTTTATGAGGATATTTATTGTTTATTATCCAAGCATTAATGTGTAGGTTTTGAGGAGATAAATCTAATCTAATAGTCTGGATGGGAGCTACAAGATGCCTGACTAGTGGGTGACTGGCTCCAGTAAGTGGGGCCCCTCGGTAAATGAGCTTCCACCCTAGTCGAGATCAGTCTTCAGGGATTACAGGAGTTCAGTAGGTCAAACTGAGCTCCATAGAAACCACAGAGATTTTCCCCAGCTTTGTTCCTGCTACCTCACCCACTATAATCTGCCCAAGTTTCAGTGGTCCTGACACAGTCACCTGACTCAACTCAGCTGGGGGGTTGTGCTGGTTTTCAGAATGGGGGCTGGGTCGGTGGATGCAGGAACAACACAGAGAAATACAAGGTTTATATTGCATGAGATGTGAGGGGCCATATTGTGAACATAAATGATCATAAGTACACTTGGCTAAGGCAATTCCTGTTGTTGCTTGAACGTTTTCATCACTTTGTCTCTGCCGTGTCCAGGAAACAAGCATATCGTCTCTCATGGCCAATAACAGTCAGCAACAGGAAGACAACCGGACGCGTGATGAATACTATGTCGAAAAGCGCAATCCTTAATGTTCTCACTTAACACACTCATACAAAAGTAAATTAGCCAAATATCCTTCAGACGAGACCTGCACCGGTGTAACTGCCTAAACCCTCCAGTTCCAGCAGAAACTGCTGATGTGAGTAAAAGGGGATGAGGTTAAACTCACCTAAACGAGAATCTGCGGGCTCTTCCGTCAGGGATGTGACATATGGCACGGCTGCATTCAACACCAGAAAGTAGACAAACCGAACCTGCGACGCTTTCATTTCCTTTACAGCTTATTCCTCGTAGAGAAACTGCCTTTAACAATAAAATGAAATCACTCAGGTATCGCAGCAGAAGAGTGTCTAATCGCTCTAAAAATAATCCAGCCCGTCCTGTTGCGCGCAGAGCGCAAATATCTGGCCCACCTTGTACTGGTCGAGTCTTAAATAGCACCTCTGACAAGCCACTGGCTGCTGCGGGTGGGGAATGAAAAATACTTGTAAAGTTTTGTCATTTGGCTGCTTTATGAGAGGCACTAGCAGCACTGGTTGGCAGTATAACGTTTCGTTAAAGCCAGTAGAGTTCACTGTGCAAGTTTTTCACTTTCTTAAATGTACTTAGCCAATTTACTATGTAACAGGTCCAACGTGAGGAATGGATTACAGAACTGCTACATGCTGGGTTGAATGTTCAGTTACCTACTTTTTTACTTAACTGATGAAATAACTGATTGGATATCTGACTGCTGGAAAACTGATTATTGATTTATGATTGATTAATAAGTGATGCAACTTCACATAAAGTTACAACTGCAGAAAACACACCCAGCCCTGATTGCTTTCCAATTTGTGGCTTCAAAAAAAGGTTCATAATAATAATAATACAGCTGGATGTAGCATAACTCACATTAAAACACAGAATGTGCTTCACAAAAGATCAAAATAAACAACAAGCAAAAGACATATTTAAAGGGTAAAATATAGTAAATGTTTATTGGCAAAAGACAAATTCTAATTGTCTTTAAAAAGTTGAGGCATAGCTTCTCAAATTTTATATATACTATACATAATACTTTGCCTGCCATTGCTGATTAACATTGATGCCTCCGGTTCAATCTGTTGACATTATTTACACTGAGATTGCTCGATGCAGGAGTGTTGTGCACAGATAGACTGACACTCAGTATGCCACTGGTCACCTACATGGCTGCATTAAGCACTATTATGTTGAAAGCTTCAGCTTCTATGTCTTAAATGCAGTTAATTACACATTATAATTATTATACAGGAGACTAAAGGAGTACTCCACTGACTGCACTTTCAGTCATGTGTGCTAGAAGCAAGCAATGTAACTCTGAGCTTCAAGCAGCAATGACTTTTCAAACTCTTAGTCTTCAGACCCAGCCAACGCTGACTCAGATATATCACTTGCTGATACTTAACAGATTTGGGCAGCTCTCTCTGGAAAGACTTTGTGCAACTTTCTTCACATATCCAGCAGTACTGCACAGCACCCGTACACAGACTTTGATGTGTAATGTTGGTGGATGAATGAAAGATACTTGACACATTTTATATATTTTTTAAATTCTATTTATACCCTGAAATTTTAAAATTGTTTGGATTTTTGTCTCAGTTTTAACCTTAAATGTTTTTAATCATAAATGTATAAAGATACTAGTTTTTAGGGATCTTAACAAACATTACACTAAATGTATTTTTTATATATAAAAGAATTTAGAGTACATGCTAGTGGTATGCCAGCCCATATTGTGTTATGGGAGGTCTTTCCCTTCCTCTTCCACACAACAGATGTTCCTCAGCCAGACCAGCTAAGCAGTGGCTGAACTGTTTTCCTTTACTTTGGCTCCAATTCAGATCTTCTTCTCCTCCTCTTCACTGTTAGGAAGAGCCTGACATGGTGATAGGAAGGTGATGAAGAGCAGTGTGAGTCAGACCTCCACAGCATTGTTTGTGCCAGCAGAGAGGGAATGTGGACAAAAACCACATAGTCCATCAGATCTGGAGACAACGAAATGTCTTAAATTGTCTTTACTTCCAAGACAGTATTTCCTAACCTCATTCTCAGAATGGCACATGAGCACATATCGCACATGTCCAGATTCACAGATACAAGTCTGAGTGTTCCTTGGGGTCTTGCTGTTCCAAACTAAACACTATTATGTGAACAGAATATTGTGTGCCAAAAACAGTTTCGCAATATGTTTTGTACAGCTATTTCTTACTGACAGGCTGTAGGGAGGCTCGCAGCGAATCCAACAAAAACATTTATAGGGAATAATAAAAACATTTCTCAGGAGTATACAGACTTTCTAGGTCTTCTGATTTTCAGGAACACACTGGAGCACACTTTCTTCTTCTGTGATTCACTGATAACCTGAGGAACTTGAGAAGCTTTTGTGAATCAGTTCAAAGTAGGCTGCAGGTTGGTGGCAGGCTACTGTTTTAAGTCATCTTAATAGTTTCAACAATGCACGCCAAATAGCAACACAAAATCACTGAGGCACATAGAGAGAAAGTAGCTGGGCATTCACAGCTGTATCTCTTCCTCAAGGTTACTTTTACGTTATTATTATTTTCCCCATATACAGTTGTTTTCAGGGCACAATAATGCTGATGCTTGCATTCATTCCTATCTGGTGTTCTTGTTCATGACAGTATGGTCAGATAATGGATTTTTGACTTTCATCTTTTCAGAAAAAACACATCCTCAATCAAGAAACTCAAAATATCAGAAACGCAACTGAGACACTGACAAATGATTGTGTTTCAGTAATAACTAAAAGAACAAGTGAAAGATGTGATTAAGAATTTCTTTAGTATCCCAGACAAGTGGACTTTTTTTGGAAGATAAAGGAATGACCTATGCAGCAGATTAAGCCCTCGAGTTTCAACCAGCTAGAATCATGTCAAATAAAACTCCAACTCTAGTGACAATATGTTCAAACCTATACAAAGCCAAATGAAGGGCTTTCTAAGTTAGCTGCAAAAAGGCACAGATGTTGTGTATGTACAAGCTACAATCAACTGTACTGCAGGTCTATATCAAAAATATGGAAGCCATTTGCCTGAACCCAAATATATTTTTATTCCATATTTTTATACATAGGCCTGTGGAAGTGCTGATTGTAACTTGTACATGATTCATGATTACCAGGTTTAGGCTAATTAACTCAACAGGCTTCACTTGTGTGAAATGTTTAAAGACGTATCAAGTATATACAATAAATCTGACTAGTGATTAGATTTTCATATCTAGCACATGAATAAGTTAAAATGATTTGCATTTAATTTTTTTCCAATATCTTTATCACTTGTCAGTCTGAGTTTCCATGAGTCTTTCCTATAGGTAGTTCCCTTAGAGGGATTGTTTGTCCTAACTGGCATTTCAAGATATTTTCACAAGCTTTTAAAACTTTTTTTTAGTCTAACATTAGACAGAGTTATATGGAAGGTGTTTTTGCAGTAAGACATGGGAGTGACAACTTTTACTCCAACAGCATTTCATGGTGTAATTGTTTAAAAGTAACTTGGATGGTTTATCTTTTTAAAATTTTTATTAAGCCATCCTAGGCTCTATATTTATACATTGCATACATTTCAGTTCATAAAGGTAATTGCACTCAACAGCTGGCATAGGAGCCAATTTGATCGATCTTCCCAAAGCCTCGTGCATCAACTCACAGAATGCTTCATTTATAAAAATACAGATGACAATGGAAGCCTGCTGAAAATATATTACAGCTTAATATACACACGTATAAATGTACAATCAATAAATACAATATGAAGTATTCTTGAGATGTGTTATGGCTATTAAGTGGGCCACACAAATTGTTTTAAAGTCATTTTATAAGGTTTGACCTTTCAAAATAAGGGCTGAGCTAAGTCACTAAGGTAACAGTTTCAGGTGAGACACTGTGTTTTAAGGAGCACTTAACCATTATTGGATGATTTAAAAATGATCAGCTCATTTTCATAAAAAATGACCAAACTAAAGAACACCTGTGCCTGTTGGACTGCCTTCTCAATGACCTTCAAATCTGAAACAGTTGCATAAAACATAGTCTTTTAAAGTGACCAGTGACACAATAACCAAATGTAATCAAAGAATAAGGCTTCAAAACATAATACAACTCTTTTTTTAAAAGAGGTATTTACAAAAGCTGCTGTGATTCTCTGTTCAGTAGACAGTAAATACTTCTTTGGTCCCTGGTGATCGTGTTGGTATTTAGTGGTTAGGTAGAGGCAAAGATTAGGGGAAAAATTGTCATTCTGCAAATATAAAAATAAAATAAAACCAGATGTGTCTAAAATATGCCAGTCACTCTGAATCGTTTATCAATCTCAGATTTCATAGGCAAAGAACACACACCAGGTCAGGGGGTTTAAAATACATTGAAGTCAGTATCAACAGTACATATAGGCCACAAAAGCAAATGATTACAAAGTTATGGAGCAAAACCTACTGAAAGTGTGAATTTGCACATCATCACAGAGAAACCTGTAACATTTTTCAGCAGCAGAGAGAGCTTGTGAGCTGACTGACTTCCAGCAGCATGAACAAGGTTCTGCTGGTTGCACTGGGAGTTGAGGAAACAAAGAGAAAGGTCAGGAAAATGCAGCAGTCAGCATATGTCCAGTTACTTGCAAAGGCTTTGCCAGTGTTGCTGTGTACTGTCCATCTTTGGATATGTAATGTAGAGATGGATGATGTGCATGATGTGGGCGTGTGTGTTCAAGTGCAACTTCAAGCATCATTCTGCCCAAAAAGGCTGCCCTGCATTTTCAGTTTGTGCATCCTGCAAAGAAGACGAGACAACAATGACCAGGAGGATTGTGCTTGTGATAATACAGCCTGATTAAGGTACGGCTATAATCTTTTAAGTAAAGTACATTCAATTTAAGCAAACTAAGGTAACTATAGGATAAAAATCTGTGGAATCTGGAGTGTGTTGTTTTATGGCAACACAGATCAAAAGTTATGTTGAATAGCCTCCCTTGTCACCTTTCTCGTTCTAAATGACAAATATATGTCAAAAATAACTGAGTGTTTTTATATTACCCTCTTTCTCATTACAATTGATTTAAATGACTAATTTTAAATATATATACAAAACTTTATCAATCAAATATGATCTATGGCAACAAGCTACTCACACACATCACCCATAAGCTTTAGCTTGTGGGTTGTAGCATTTCTAAAGAATGTGGTTTAAGTCAAGTTCTTCTTCATCCTCCTAATCTAACAATGTAGGTGAGAAATATTTGGGAGGAGGCCAACAGTTTCCACCATATTTACTAATAATTTAGTGACCCAAATCAACTCCAGAGGATTTGATTTAAGCTAACGACTCTACTTTTGGTTTCACAGTGACATTAACTTACAGCTTCCCTTTACGGCTACTGGTGTCTTCCTTTGACTTGACAAAGACTGCATCTTCTCCTCCCCTGACAAGGTAGGCAAATTCTCCATCTTTTGCACCAAAGACCACCCTGAAATCAATCAGAATGAAAAAATTCTTTTAAATGTGATGTAAAACAGTCATTATGTTTTGTGCATAAATGTCACTAGCTCTATCTTATATGCCTGTGGTGGTGATATCTCACTTGGACTGAGTCTCTCCAGACTTGATGCGCAGTTTTCGGATGTGGAACTGGCTCCTGCCCCACCAGTTGGGCCAGCTGATGATTGAGTCCTTCTCCCAGCGCAGCTTAACAATCATCAGGTCTCCGATGTCAACGTCAGATGTAATGAGGAAGGACAAAGTGCTGTTACCATTGAGGACTGGCCTGCAGGTTGAAAGGACAAGTGGAGTTATTCTTTTTTGTAACTTGCATGTGAATGTCTGTGCGTTTTCAGTTTTCACATGATGGATCTTAGAACAGTTTACTGTTTGGTGTGCATACAGGACGAAGGAAATGCCCTCCTTCTCTCCATTGGTTCCATACAGGGAAATCTTCATTGGCTGCTCTGTGAAACTCAGCTGATCCCTGCTGAAGAAATGCACCTTCACTTGGTAATGGAAAACTGTGAGAGGGGAGGAAACAGAGTCGGTTTTACACTTTGGACATGCTCTGACACACGGCTTGACGTATTTCCAGCAAACAGCCCTCTCATACCACCACTTACAGTTAGTTTAATACTAGAAAATCCCTTATGGAACCTAACCTTTCTCCTTATGCGACAAGTCAAGAAATTTCCACACCGTCATATCTAACTATTTACTAAACATACACAGCTTTTAACATACTGTACATTCACATCTCTAAAATATCAATATTCCTCAAAGGTCTAACAATAATACTGCTGACTTGTGCCAAAGGCCTAACTAAACCTTTCCATTGCTAGTGTACCTCATGCAGTGGTGTCACATTACTTTGACATACCCTGAGCCACTAAAATACCCATGACCGCCTCTTCATGTTACTTCATGAGTGCTTGCTACTCGTTGCACATGTGCGCTTGCATCAAGATTTAAAAATTTCGAACAACATAAAGTTCAAAGACTATGTAGTCTATTTATGCCAACATACTATTGTACTAATATTAATTCCATGTTCAAATAACCATATCCAGACTGAGACATTTCAGTCACAGTGGCTCACACACTGAGGATTACCACTATTAAGGTACAGTATGTGCATCAGCCAAGTCAGCAAGTACATGAATCCAGGCAAACTATTCTGCACTAATTGAATGAATTTCTTTTCTTACAGGACCTACAAATTCCTCATAAATAAATATAATTTACAAATGTGATATTCCCTTTGGGTACATGTCTTCTTTTGGTATTTACCTTTGTACGGCATCATTTCACGGGTCTTGAGATACATCTTGGCGCTGCGGGTCATACGGACCTTGTTGATATTGTAGCCCAGCTTGTTGCAACGGTTCTTCCTGCAGCTCAAGCACAGGCCCTTGTTAAAGGCATCTTTGGAGTTGCAGCGGTAGGCCAGGCTCTGCTGCTGGGTGTTCAGCAGAGAGTCAATGAACAGGTGGATAGAGCGCTCGTGGGAACATTTGACAAGCTGGTCCATATCTAAAACAAAGAGCACAGAAACCATGAAAGCTGTCGTTTCTCAGATGACGCAATGCAAAACAGGAAATGTCTTCCTTATGTGTGGCTCTTTTTGTGCCTTCACATGTCAGCGCTGACAAAATCCTAAGCCAGCTGGCACTTCTCAATTTGTTCTGCCTTGCTCAGTTAAATTACTTGCAAACAGCTAAGGGTGTGTGAACTAGTGAACTTAAACAGAAGGTGTCTGTGGCAGTCTGTTCATCTGTCGCTGTTATACAGTGTCTCTTGACACCATTTAACTTACATGAGACTATTTTGATAATTTACTACACTGTTGTAACAAATCTTTCACTATAATCTGGACAGAAGTTGGTATTTAAGTGGTCACACAGGTGGAGGTGGAGAAAATTTGGCTGTTCATCTGTCGCTGTTATACAGTGTGTCTATTTTGATAATTTACTACACTGTTGTAACAAATCTTTCACTATAATCTGGACAGAAGTTGGTATTTAAGTGGTCACACAGGTGGAGGTGGAGAAAATTTGGCCTTGCATAGCTGGAAGCGTTCACGGCTGCATAGCTTAGTAGAGTATGAAAGAGCCCTTGAATGGCTTTTAGCTCACTTAGAAATAACTTTGCACATTCTGCAAAACATCACATAACTTCACAAGCACAAACTGTCTATACAAAAAACAGTTCCTTGTAGTCACTGGTCTTGTAGTATATAGAAACCAGCAGTGATAAGGGTGGATGCATGCCAACACAAAGACTGAAAACTGAGCAAAGTAGCAAAAATGTATTATATCAAGCAGAGGTGCCATGAACATCAAACAGTAGAAAGTATCTGGAGTACATACTTTGGAGAGCCTTGATCCCTCCCATTGCAATCCCCATTAAAGTATTCTGAATATCGCAGCCTGGCTGGAAAGTCCCTCCATTGGGGTAAATGTCAATGTGGCCCACCGGCCTTTGGATGCCGATGCTGCGATCTGGGGAGCCCCTGGTGTTGGTGTGCAAGACGTCTACAAACTGGGCGTCGTCTCGGGACAGGGTGCTCTGGTCATCTGCATGCTCGAAGGTGGGACCAGCAGGATCAAGACCTGTAGATGAATAGGAGAGCAGAATAGGAGAGCTGATTGTGGCCTCACTGAAGAAGGTGTTTGTTGATGTGGACAAGAAAGCAGAACGTTCAGTTCTATGGTTTGGTGTACCTACTGTAAAAAACTGTACATGAAAATATCTGAGCATGTGTTTCATCTGGCCTTGATGCAGTTGTGCAAAACCACTGATTAACAATGTGAAACAGTGGCTGTGGGCCATAAATGGGCTGCTGCTCACAGATCAGTCAACACACCGTTATTCTAAGCAAGATTTCAAAGCTAGTTAAAGATAATCCTGACAAATAGGGGGCTCAGACTCATATGCATATACACATACAACACAGGCCTGGAATGCAACAGCTGACAGATTATATTTCATTACAGCGTTACGCTGTTTCACAAGCTAGGCTGGGAAATATTGTGTGCATACATCAGAGTATAATGCACCTACATGCATGTGTTCAGACTAAAAGACAACATCTAGACAAAATTTTCAAATGGGCCACAATGTTTATACTTAAAACACGACACATAATTGGATAGATGCATTTGTGAAGAGGAGGTACACACTGCTAATAAGGGCAGAATTCACCTTCAGGGAATCTTCTATTTTAATCAATCACAATAGAATAATAAGAACTAAAATCTAATAGACGCATCATGCAGTTTAGCTGTATATAATGTAATGCAAGCAGAAGAAGATCCTGCTTAAGTTAACCCTCACCTGTGATCCTGCTGATCTTATGGTCGGTGAGGTCCCCAGCAACTCCAGCAACATGTGCTCCCAGACTGTAACCCAGCAGATGAATCCTCTCCCACGGCAACTGCAGCTCTTTCTGAAAGGAAAGAGACAGGCGAGAGGAATGTGTTAACATGCATTAAAACAGATTAAAGTGAGCCCTTGTTGGAGGGGTTAAAACTAACGGCTGGCAAAGCACTGCAGCACTTTGTTTAAGTCTGAGTACAGCTTGGCACATTATCTAAGACAGGGTTATTTTGAGTAATTTTATGCTCTGCCAAAACATTACAAGCTCCAAACTTGGAAGTAACAAAGGACAAGTATTACTCATGGCCATTTTTGCCTTGAAGCTGCTCTTGCAAGTTTTGTGCTCCACTAAATGCTGAGCTGTCAACCAGCTTGGACCCTATTCAGAGAAGACACTCACTTGTATCCAGGTAACAAACTTGGCAATGTCACGGCCCACTAGTTTGGTGTAGGCTGCAGAGGTCGGGTAGTGCTCGCTGGCACGGGTCAGCCAGTCCACCACAATCACATTGGCGCTGGGCTCACGCTCGTACAGAGCGGACACCAGCTTGTGCACCCAGCTCTCAAACATCCCCGTTACCTATAGTAACACACACATGCACACATTTCTGAGGTCAGCTGCAGTACGGTGTGATTTATTCTGGCCTTAGCCCTCACAGCCACAGTGTCATCAGGTTCAAGCCTTTTTGCATGATGGACTCTAAATCACATTACAGGAGGAGACACATAGACTGTCTTCAGGGCGAACTCAGTCTGTTCTCAGAAATTATGCCTAGTTTTGAGGATACTTGTTACATTCATGAGACTACATCAGTTTGGACCAAACTCACGGTTTTCGATCAATTTGTTTGTTGTCAACATTGTATTGCAGGACATAACCCCTGTTTATTTTGTGTAACATATCATTCTATCCTGTTATTTGGTATAATTTCAATACATGATTATCTCTGAGCCAGAAGGAGAGTTTTTCTTTCAAACTCAAAACACAAATGGTCACTAATGAAACAAGCTCCTAACATACCTGTGATTATTATCATGCTGTTTTATAGTAATATAAGCTAATGACAACTTTAACATGAAATATAATGCATTTATTCTGACATACCGACCAGCCATGTATCACAAGGAAGGTCTGAGTTTCAGAATTGAATTCACACTCTTTGATGGTTTCTGGGCTGCCAGGCACGATGTAGCACATGTCATCATCTGGGATGTCTGCTGTGCGCAGGGAGAACTTGGACACAATATCAGTGTAGTCTGTGATCCATTCAGTAGTGGTCAGCAGAGGGCTGGCAGTGACTGTGGAGTTTACTGTTACAACACACACACACACACACAGAGACAAGCAGACAATGTGCAGGAGATTATTAGATTGTTGTGGCATGATAGAAATGTAAATGGTTGCTGCCAGTTGGAATTCTGGCCATCAGGCCTATAATACTTATACTATTGTTACACCCTCGAATTATATGCATCCACAACAATCATGCAAAGATTTGAAACACTGATGTCCTATTTTATTAAAAAAATACTTACAGAAACAAAATAACATTGAAGTTAAAACGTTTTTACTGAAAAAACCTAACTTTTCATTCATATTATGATGCCTTGCTGTCCTTAATTATACTAAATGATCATTTATGTCACCAGTGCTACTCTGCAGCAACACAGAAGAGCATGGCAGTGTCGCCCTCTTTTGTCTCACTGCATTTCTACCAACACACGTTTCCAAAATAAAGATACATTAATTAAAACTGGGTAAACATTTCTGCCTAAAGTAACTTGACAGCCTTAATGATTCCAGTTTTGTGCCCTGAAATATCAAAATAATCAAACAAGTCTAAAAACACTAAATACTGACATATCCCATTTCTTCTACTATAGCATCGAAATAATGTGATTCCATTATAAGTTATTCCACACTCCTTTTTGCCTTCTCCCTGTCCTTCTTCAGACAAAAGGCCCGTGGCAGCGGCTCTTCTTCGAGCACACATGGAGCTGACAGTATGAAATTCGATTCAGACCTGAACGTATCATGGTATTACTGCCAACACGGAACAGCATGCATTTATTAACCCTCTCCCCTGCATATGTTCACTTTATTAAAGATAAATAATATCCTATCCAAAGACGGTAATTCAGTGTAAACACGACATTAACTCGCTCTTACCAAACACGGTGGTGGTGGCGGCTTCAGTGTTAGAAGAAAAAGTTGCAAAGACTTTCGCCAAAATTATCCAAATTGATAAAAAGGAGATATTTTCTTTTTCCATATTACTGGGGCTTTTTATGTAAAAAGTATTAAAAAAAATATAGGATGTAGCTCACTTAAAGCCAGTCGGTAATTAAAACCACAGATCACAGGTCACGTGGTACTGACTACGCTGGGAGTGAAGTTTCTCGGGGTCTGTCACTGAGCCGCTCCAGGTCATCTTTATGTGTTGCTCATTTGAATGTTGAGATCTGATTGGCTGGAGGTGATGGGGCGGGGTTTAAACTTTGTCCCTGTTCCAAGGGAATCATTCACAATCTTTGTCCCAGGAGAGCAGCGCTCAGCAGTCTGCATGTTGCCTCGGCACATCATCACTGTCAGTTATCTGCTATTTGTTAGAAACTACAGGAGGAAAGTTGCCTTACACCTAAGGCTTTGTGTGTGTGTTCGTTCTTGTACTTATTATGAGGACCCCAAAAAATGTTTTTTTGTTTTGCTTTTTTTGTTACAAAACAAAACAAGTTAGTTACAAAGCTTTGTTGGAAAGCGAGTACAGTTTGGCTGGTCCTCACCTTCTGAAACAGCTTATTGAAGGTTAAGACTTGGTTTTAGGGTTCAGGTTAGAATTAGGTTTAGGTTCAAGTTTAAGGGAAGGGCTAGGGTTAGGCATTTCTGTGGATAAAGGATAGGGTAAGGGGCTAGGGAATGCATTATGTCAGTGAGTGTCCTTACAAAGATAGACGTGAAAGTGTGTGTGTGTTTATTATATTCAGGTCAAATCTGTATGTGATAGAGCTGATTTTATGGATTGTGTGGCCTTAAAAGTCCTGATACAGGGAACTGATGCTGTCTGTGAGGATTACAAACTACTGTGCTGTGTTCTTCCCTCCAACTGGACTGCCCAGAACATATTTTATAGTCTCACAGTACATAAAACAACACACCCCACCAACACAGACTCTAGCATTGTTTTAGGGCAAATGTCTATGTGAATACATAGAATCCAGGATATCGAACATGCAGGATATCCAGGAGATCTCAAACAGATCTTCTTGTGTAGTGTGAGTGTGGACAGATTCCCTTCTTCCATTGGTGGAACACTGGCGAGCAGTTTGTATCGCAGAAACAATGAAAACACACAACTGGATAATAAATGATACCACTATCCTGCCCTCAAATGTCTCTTGTGTCATGTAACCATAACAATATATATATAGATACACAGTGCAAACTTTATGGCATCAGTGAACCAGTAAACCATTTTTGTGGCACTCGTGGGCCCTAAGGAAGCTGAAAATCTCCAAACAAAATCAAAAACACATGTAGGATCAGAACAGGCATTAGGGAAAAGCACACGAGTCCATATGTCTTATTGTGCTTTTCAGGGCAAAGCACCAGCATGAATGTATATACAGTATGTTATACCTCTGTTATTTCTCCACACAGTGGGGAACAACAACAAATAGACTTAGCCTAGATATTTTTTCATCACAACATTACCTACTTACTAATATTACATCACACCACATAATGTTTGATATTGGAGGATGAAGTTTCCATGTTTTGAAACGCGATAACACTTTACCCTGCATGAGGCGACTCAGCAGTCTCACAGAAATATTAAGCTTCTAAAATCCTTGGAGACAAACTGAATGAGATTTGGATTAAGATATCACATGTGGAGGGTGACCCAGAGGGAAGGCACTGTTGCTCTCTGTGTTACTACAGACACAGTTTATCTTTCACTGCCTTATGTATGTAAGAGTGTTAGCCTCAACCTTGTAGCAAATAACCATATAGCACTGTTATTACTAATAATCAATAACATATGTCTTAATGTTATATGGACTATGTATATCCAGATTTATACTTGTTCTCTTTGCCAAAAAGTCATTCACATACAAAGGAATATACACTATGTTACTTATTTTTGGCATCAGTTAAACCCCACAGAGGTCTAATTCCTTTATTAACAAACCCTTAAAAAACTTCCATAACAGAAATCTAAATTAACATATGGTGTAAAAAAGTACTGTCATGACCAATCACAGATATTTTTATTTAATCAAGTTTTATCATCACTTCAAAATCATGTTTATACTCATTTCTCATAGGACAAGTATGTAATAAAACAATCAAGTATGAGCAGTTGAAGAAGGTCTGCTGTCTCCGCTGTCTTTAAAGAGACAACACAGCATCTTTGGAAATAAAACTAAACCTACTTCAATAGAACATTGAGTTTAAAGCAAAGGTGGGATGAATGCAAAAAACAAAAACAAACAGTGATTCACTCTCCTTCATGAAAAACAAACATGATTAAACCTCTTCTTCATCCACTGCTGCTACTGCTGTATATGCCCTCTCTAAATACAGCCTGCTGCTTCTTTTGTCCTACATATTTGAGTATATGTGTATGTAGTGTATGTATGTGTGTGTCCCAGTTAGGAGGGTGATGCTTATGGCCAGACCAACAGGCCCAACCCAGTATTTAGACAGAAGAGAAATTCCTGTCTCTCAGCCTGTGATCTCTACATTTACTGCAGATACTTCAGTTGACCTCAAGGGAGACCCACAGTGATAAATGACAGGGCAGGCATGTTTTAGCATTACTATGTGTGACACACCCAGACAACATCAACAAAATGATGTTTAGTTTTACAAAAGAGGTGCGGACAGACAACAGGCACATTGTCAGTGTTATTTACTGTATGCATAAGTCCCTCTGCAGTCCAGTTAGTCTGACATTTAGTTCCTGCTGCAGAAGATTTCTTTCCTTTCCTGTTGTTGTTGATTATTCTTCTGAAGCCTTGCAAACTTACAAGGCTGCCCTCTGGCTTCACACTCCCCTGTTTGCTCTTCTGAGAGATTATTTTGGCTGTAGCCTGCAAAAGCACACAGTAGTGCTGACCCACACACTACTTCATGAATGTGTTGGTAACTGTGTTTTCAGAACTAATTGCAAATATTTATATTAATGATAAATTCACTCCATCTTTTTCTTTATGTTTTGTCTTTTTTTGCTAGCTCTCGTGTGTTCACTTGTGTTTACAGGTGGAGCTACAGGCCTGATTTAAAATCCCAAGCAACATGCACACACAAATGACAGTGAAACAAAACCCTCATGAATGTGTTCAGGCAGCCATGCAAACACACAACAAATGGTGAAATATGCCTTCTGATCAGTGAGAAGGCTGATGGTAAGCAAACAGGAAGATGCATCATAAAGATTTTTTGCATGTGCACTTTGGGTTTCACCATGTGTGGACAGTATACATCCTCCACATAATGATTTTTCATGTCCACCATCCTCTGTTTAGCCGTTTCATCTTAAATGTGCAATGTAGCAGCATGTATGTGCAGTATATGCAGAATATTTGATCTCAAACGTCCTCAGAGTTGCTTCCCGTTCAAGGCCATCCTTGCACTGTTTTTCACTGCCTCACTGACACAAATCACACTGTACTTTCCTTTATCTGGATGTTTCCACCCTCTATCAATGCCAACACTATGGAGACACAACAGGAGATGAAAAGACCTTCAAAAAGTTTTGCTGACATTCAAATAATGTCAAAGAAAAAAAATGCTTTCAGTCATAAGGTTTATTAGACATTTCACAGCTTAAAAGGTAAAGCGACAGCTCCAATTAGTTGAGATGATGCTTTATTTTAGCTGTAATTGCCAATTCATAAATCCATTAGGAGAGGGAAAAGATTTTCAGGTTCCTCTGTGAGAGTCGTCTTTTACCTTTTGCCTACCGGCCCAACAGGGCTACCTCAGACGCCATCGTGGCTGCCCTCCACTATTCCCTTTCTCACCTGGAAAATGGAGACTCCTACATCAGGATACTCTTCATTGGCTACAGCTCTGCCTTCAACACAGTTATCCTTTATGAACTCACCCACAAACTGTCCACACTGGGTCTGCACCCCACCCTCTGTGACTGGCTCCTGGACTTTCTGATTGGCAGGACCCCAGACTGTCAGGATTGGCAACAGGACTTCAGCTTTCTCTCTATACCGTTTGTTGTGATCTGAAGTACAGATGTCTGTCCAACTGCTTAAAGCTGGACACAGTTTTTATCACAAGCCTCAACACGGACAAGACGAAGGAGATGATAGTGGACATGAGGAAGGAGAGGAGAACTCATTGGCCACTGTTCATCCAGGGGCTCAAAGTGGAGAGGGTGAGCAGCTTCAAATACCTGGGTGTCCACATCAGTGAGGACCTCACCTGGAAACTTAACACCACACAGCTGGTCAAGAAGGCCCAACGGCAGCTGTACTTCCTGAGGAAGTTTGGCATGTCGCCTAGGATCCTTTGCAACTTCTACAGCTGCATCGGTGAGAACATCTTGACCAACTGCATCACTGTCTGGTACGGCAGCACTACTGCTATGGACCCCAAGCGCCTGCAGAGAGTGGTAAAGACTGCTGAGAAGATCACCAGGACTCCACTGCCCTCTCTGCAGAGCATTTACCACCGCAGGGTGCGTAGGAAAGCTGCCTCCATCCTCAAAGATCCCACCCACCCCCAGCATGGACTGTTCGCCTCCATACCCTCTGGTCGGAGGCTCAGAAGTGTGAAACACAGGACCACTAGACTGAAAAACTCTTTCTTTCCCTCTGCCATCAGACTCCTAAACAGCTGACTCAGGATCTACTTCATGTAATTCCACTGTTTACATACTCATTTTGCACATGTATAATTGCATACTCACTGCTGAGTATTTACACTTCACAGCTCCCACGTAGCATATATTATCTCTGCTGTATTTTTATTGTGCTTCTTTTACTTGCTGCTTTAAAGTGCCTTAGATTTGTGTTATTGCTCACCTACTTTATATTTTATTTGTATTTTGTGGCATTCATGTGGACGGCAAAGTAAGAATTTCATTGTACAGGGAAACACGTTTCCTAACTGTGCATATGACAAATAAACACTTTGACCCTTTGACAAGTCTCCTACTAAAGACACAGTGAGGCCATAAAAAAACTGCAGAAAGACTTCAGGAGACATGAGTGTGTGAGAAGAAGGCAGTATTCTGACACTAAAAGTTTGTGTTATACACTTGGAACTAATGATGTGTGAATTGTGTGTTAGTTTCAGTTTGTGTGTTGTGTAGAAGCATGACAAGTTTGTATCCACAGTGCACTGTATATTGAGTGTTCATAAAACTGTCAGGCG